TTTGCAGTAAAAACCTCTGGAATTTGCTACGAACAGTGATGCTAACCAACTTTTCTGTGATGGTAGACGAGACGGCAATTTTCTCAAGAATATGTCGGCGAGCATCTACAGTACCCCGTCAGACCAACTATGCACATCTCAACGAGCCACCTCCGGTTTTCATTGTTAAGTCAGTGTTTGCTTTGTTCTTTCTTTTTCAATTTAGTTACTTCCCTCTTTCATGTGCCTTAATTTTTCAGCTCCGTTTTTTCAAAGCGTTTTTTTCCAATGACCGACGAAAATCGTGAGAGAACGAAGACGTACTGCATACGCAATCGTTCACACATTCGTCCATCCATCAAAAAACTCATAAACACACCTTCTCTTATCAGAATCATCGACGATGAAAAATGTTCTACGATATAGTTGGTGATTCTTCTTCTATGAGGAACTAGAATTTCTCACGAAGGAAGTCTTAACTAAGTGCTTAACTAAAGTAGTTATTTCTTTCACCTAGTGTCTTCATACTCCGCTAGCATTCATTATAAGGTTGCTCTGCAACTTTGTGTACGACCAAGTCGTTAAATTCATTAGACAAATAAGAAGAAATGATGTGCATATTCTGTGAACAAATAGTAAACGTATACAATCATACTGAAGTCTTTTACGCTTGTAGCACACTTCGAAGCATTGTATTTTGGGGTTTCGACTTTTTTTGAGGAATCTTCATCACTAGTGATTTCGCAACCACTGGCTTAAAAACATTTCACTGTTGCGTATTACATGTTATAGATTATACTTATTATATTTCTTGGGCGTGTGTAGCGCAGTAGTTGGAGGCGCCCTAGAATATACATGGGATCGATCCCCGAGCCACTGGCTCACCAAGCCTTCCATCTCTCCGGGTTGCGTAAATTGGTACCGGAGTTGTCTAGGAAGATGGCAGTACTGACTCGATACATCGGTAGGCCACCGCTAGTCATTATAAAGGGCAGATATGCATACAGTCACCTCCGACGATGCTTAACGAAGTCGAATGCATGGCGCAGTCATCAGGAACTAATCAACGCCGAGAGCGTCATACCTTCCTCTTATAATTCCTCCTTACAGTATTCGAAGCTAGGATTAGGAGAAAGAAATGAGAATAGAAACCTCCGCGCAGAGCTCTTGTCTGCAGCACAACTTTTTCATGGAAACTGGTTTTTCCAGAACAAAATTGCCGCTGGACGTGGGAGTCTTTAACGGCACTACACATGTGGAGATTGACCATATTACGAGAAATAGAAGAAGGTGCCTACTTGACACATTAGTAGTTCGTTCATTCTGTACAGGTTCCGGCCACTGCGTTCTTTGCGCAAAAGTTTGACTAAGCCTTAAGCTGAAAAAGAATTCATGTCATCTACAAGAAAAAAAACATGTCGTGTTTGTGGAAAAGATATTTAATAAAACACTGTCCTCATATGACTGGCAGATAAAGGAGAACACGACCGAGGACTACAAACTGCTTGTCAAAAGGCATGTTGTGTCTAATTCGCCTCAGTTCCTCAAGCAAGAAGATCAGATTGCAACTCCATTACCACCAAGGAGTTGCTCATAAAGAAAGGGAAACTAAATCTTGATCCTGCTGCAACACGCTTAACACTAACCCGGATAGTAATAAAGACCAGCTTCAGAAAATCTTCGCTGGAAAATTCTACATCGGTACAGGCAGAAGAAATTACTGGAAGCACCGAAAAAATGAACCAGTCTGAAAAAAAGCTTACGGCTTTCAAGAAGTACCAACGAAGTAGAGATGATAATCAATGAGATCATTGAAGCGGAAAAAAGATCAGACTACGCATAAATCGTAAGAAGACGCAGTTGATGGAAAACCTATGGTGCAAAAGCGAAAAATTGAACTAAATGGCTTTCCGACTGCAGAGACTACTCATACGTTTACCCTATGCGATCAATGAACGTGGAAAACAACATGAAGAAGGAAATAAGCAGACGATGGAGAGCAGCTGGGGCCGCATTCGGGCGTTTCAAAGAAGCTTCTGACCAACCGAAGAACCTGAAAATCCGCGCTCACTTTTTCGATTCAACGGTCCTACCAGCACTTTGTTATGTCGAAGTGACGTGGGCTGACACCTCAATCACGTCAAGAATACTCTACACGCCTCAGAATGCTTTAACGATGTCTTCTCGAATATAACCGGCACTCTGAATATCTAGCTGGAATGCGAAGCTCTAATCTTCGAAATGTGTCCTAACTTTGGGATCCAGGAGAATATGCATCGATGGCGAAACGTGAATGGGCCGGTTACATAATGGGAAGAACAGACGGCAGATGGACGAAAAAAACTGTAGAGTGGACTCCACGAAAATGCAAACGTTCCCTAGGAAGGCCACCTGCACGTTGGGTCGATGTGTTCGTAACCAAAGTTAATCAGCTGTACTCGTAGGAGCAGTTATTTTACAGTTCATTACAGTATGAGACTCGCACGCTCCGCAATGCTGGAAGAAAACCACCACCACAACGACGATTTCGGGGGAAAAAAACGAATGGCAAATGTTCTGTATTCCGCACAACTGCGAAGGTGGACCCTCCAAGTATCCAAGTAAGTATCCCTGCAGTATTTCCCATGTTATGTAATTCGGCTTTTCTCTGCGTTTTGAAAAAACTTTTGACCTCTTATCCTATAGATGCTCCATGTTTTTCTATACAACATCCCATGTTTTTGGTGCCTACTAACCTCTTGTATGTAATAGAAAAATACTCGTCCACTACTATGTAATCGTACTGCTGTCAACATTTAATGAAGTTGCGTCACAATCTTAACCGCTTTATTTCACTGCTTACTCTTTTTAATAGCAGGGTATATTGCGAAACATAACTGCAATAATGGTGAGATAACTTGCATAATACTGAGTTATTTGCAAAACTCCGGACCACAGGTGTATGCGGTGGGGAACGAACACGCGCTGTTGCTCTTACCGGGGAGCAGCGCACTTCACCACCACACCATCCGGGTCCTTCGTTTTGCCTGCTTCTCAGCTAGTTCTGTCGATCAGTGCCGTCAGCAATCATCCGTCAGCGGAATTGATCCGGACAGCGTAAATCGGCAGTGAAGCCAGTTAAACTGAGGTTGTAATTGAAATCACAATATTAACTTTCTATTCGTTCCCCACCGCAAACACCTGCAGTCCGGAGTTTTGCAAATATCTCAGCATTATATACGAGTTATATCTTAGCATCATTGAAGTTGCGTTGATTCTGCAAGGCGTATTACGATGTTTACCTTTCAGTTTCAATATTGCCTCATTTCAAACATTACCCAGAAGTGATATTAGCGATTGAAAACTAGAAAATAATGAGTTGCTTCTCCAAAACGATGCTGCACACTGCATGTATTGCCAGCTCATCGAGGCAGACGCATTTTTGTGCCTTTCACTGGCTACACTCTCTAGGGCGCACGTTCTCATCGACAGCAATAGTCTCTCGTCGCCAAAAGAAAAATTAGTGAAAAACTGGGATAAAAAAGTGGATAACACTTGGCCCCCGGAAAGGATAAACGCGGGTTCGAAACTCACTTAGCGTTCTAAGTTTTGTAAATATTTTAGCATCAATGTGGTTGCATTTCACATAATACCTTGTCACGAAAACAAAAAATGAGTAGCAAATAAAAATTAAGACGTAAGTGAGAGTGTACTAGGAAGACAACCTCCTATGGACGCGCTGCGGCTTTCCATCTGCATTGGATAAGTTGTTAGTCGATTAGAATAAGTGTCAGAAGCGATTTCTCTGCACCAAGTTAAACCTTGGGAAGGTAATGACTTCTACAGAGGTCGTACTGGCGACTATGTTCCCTTATAAATAACCTCAATAGCAACCATATCATCGCGAATGTGTTCAGAAAAGATTCATGCACTGACTTTTGTGGTAAGGGATTACACTAAACGGAATAGTATTTTTGTGATCTTTTTGTGATAAACTCCTCTAAGTCAGGTACCAGTTACTCATTTCTATAAGGATTCAAGCAAATAAATGCATAAAATTATGAGTGTTCCGTTGTTAGATTTTCTGCTATGCTGGATATTTATGGAAGATTGGAATGACCAGGCATTTCAGATCTGTGCATTCTGAATACCAATATTTCTTAGCATCAGAACTCTATAACTTTAAAATCAACTGATTAATTACTGCATGACTTGCAACTTCATTAGTAATAAAGAAGTTCACTTAGGTATAAGTAAAAAGTGTCCATTTGACTAACTGGGAAGATATTAAGAATGTCAGACTTTTGACATAAGGTTTCCTTGACAATGAGGTAGCTGACAGACCACGAACATCGCTTATATTCACCTAGAACTCAGACATTCAATAAAAGTCTCAAATCTCTTCTCAGCTTGGCAAATCTTACTAGTATGGTGATTCTTGAGCTAGTAGATTTCAGTTCGACACCAAAGAACCTCGCCACCACTATTCAATATGGAGTGCTGAATTAGTAGATGGAGAAATCATGCGATAGCCAAATAAACAGCTTTTTGATGTTTTGCTTGCAAACTATTCATTTATTCAACTAGTTGACTAAAAAAACCATAAAACTGACATAACCAATTCGTATTCAAGATGTTTGGCCTGAAAAATCAATGAGTGCGTTTTATTGACAAAATCATCCATCCGTCCAGAGTGTGTCCACCTACGATTGCAATTTATGTACTCATTACTAGTCTTGTTTCTTTCAATTCTCTCTACTATTTCACGGATAAGGGGTTTCTATTGGATGATATGCTTTGTGATTTGCTACAGACAATTCCCCAATGATTTATTAGCACAGCGTTGTCGACTGCATGTCGGATGTGACCCGTATGAAATGACTAACCTCTTATAACAACAAATAGCGCATAACCACTAAACTGTGGTTGTAGAATTGTCTGGAAGTGTGCTGTTGTAGGGGTCACACTTCACATACTATTCCAACCTCTAGTCGGAATAAGTGTTTTCTCACGAAAACGAAAGCATTAGTGACGATTGACGATCATACTCCAGTCAACTTAGTGGTGACGTTACCGTAGTTATACTGTTTCTGATTACTAGGTCGATAGCAGAGCCCTTGGTAGCAGGCCGGTGCCGACGGAGGACAATCTGAACAGCGTTGTTTGTTGCCGGTAGCCCACTTGAATGCTGGCACCTGAAACCAAATACCATGCAGTGGATAGGCAGTAGACACAGTTCAGTACTACCATAATATCCAAAACTATTTAAGTGTTTGGATTCTTCTCATATATTTATATTACCTCTACAAGATTCTAACAATATAGCGCCATTTTATTTTTTTTAGTACTCGTCTTCTAAAAGTGACCTAAAAACTTTGCTCAGCAATGAGTATTTGACTATTCAAGCCTCAAAGTTTACATATTAGTAGTACTGAGTAAAACAGCCTGTTCTAAATCATATAGCTGACATGATGGTCGAAATAACAGTTATCACTCCTTTCATCACAAGTAACATTGAATAGGAAGCTAGAAAGCATCTTCTTTGAACATCCACAATCAGAGAACGACTGCTGAGCAACTCGTCCAAGTGGATGGGTTTATGTCAGGTATTCAGAACGAGTGATAACTTGAAAGCAGAGTTACCAACCGGATAAAGTTGTCCTGCTCGACCGACGAAAACAGTGTTTCCTTGTGGATTGTAGTGACACACAAAAACGTTACGATGACCTCGTCCAAGTAAACCCTGCACGTCACGACACCTTGCGAAACCGCATCCAACCAAACTCGTCTTCGCCCAAACCACCTGCAATATTAGTAAGTTGCTTATCACTGTATTCTTCCTGTGTGAGAACATTAATTACCTCTGTTGAGGCATTGGAATATAGCAGAAAATATATAGAAATAAAGTAGCATTTGAGAGGGAAAATAATGTTTAACTTTTTCTCTACTGCCCATTACTTTTTATGGGAGTGTATTATGTGAAATACGACCATAATGATGCTGAGATATTAGCAAAACTAGGACTTCAGACCAGATACGAACCCGCAATTACCCTTTATGAATCTGGCCTGGCTCGAGATCCAAGTTTTACCTATACGCGATTGTAGTTGTATTTATAAATATATGAGGAAGTATGTTCTTTTTATTTACTGCCTGTTATTATTTCTCACGGCGGGGTACACTGTGATATACCCGAAGTCCAAGCTTTACAAATACCTCAGCGTCACACTGCTTAAATGAAAAAGCTTTTTTCTGTGACTTTACAGGAAAGAATTCTTCCTAACTTTTCTCTGAAAATAAAATTTATTGAAATTCACCACGAAACCAATCATGGTTTGCTTTAGGAGGCCGTGCTTGGTCAACAATCAGAAAAATCCCAATAACACGGAAATATTTTGCAATATTACAGATCCAGTCTACCTTCTTTGAACCCTCAGAGAGATCATTTAAGGAACAATACGAAGACGGGGTGAAGATATGTTGAACGAAAGAAATTATGGTGACCGTCGTTATGACACGAACAGACTCGATTAGTTTCTAATTTACTGAAATCAAAACCACCTTCATACTCGTCCACTTTTACTCGATTCATCCGAATGCAGGCTTTTTTTCTGGAAAACATCTGGAAGATGAAATAAAGCCCTAACCGGCAAAAGTCAGTTTTTTATCGAGTACGACGATCAACGGTCGACCGGCCGAAAAATGAGCGCCGGTTGGCCGCCGGAAGTCACTTATCAATCAAATGAGGCCAGGATATGATAGGATTGGAGAAACGAAAATGATAACGTAACGCTGATAACACCAATTATCGACAATTTTTAGCGTCCGAAGAACACAAATGAGAAAAATATGACCAGCAGTACCTGACTGATTCAGCTTCGTTGTCGAATTGGTACTCTTTAAAAGTAGTGCAGTAATTTTTTTGGAAGGAGTTTCATGTCATCTTTACAGCATATTCACTCTCAATAATAGCCTTTGTAAACACTCTCATTCATGACTTAACCTTTTTCAGTGCTCAACCTTTTTTCATGGGAGGGTACTGTGTGAAATACAACCACAAAGATGCTAAGATATGAGGAAAACTCTGAACTTCGGACTTCGAATCCGCGCTTTCCCTTACCATCAGTTTCATTTGTTTTATCTACAAAAGAAACCTTAGAATACGATTGCTGTGAAGCAAGAGACTATAAATCTCCTTCTTAGAACCTTGGTTACCATTATTAATCACAACAAAACTAGCCAGTCTCACCTGAACATAATGACCACAACAATGTTTGTAGGCGTGGTTACATGCGCACTGTGGATCATGTACCTAGAAATTCTCGATTAATTTTTATTTATTAATTGATTAAGCAAAGTTTAATTGAATAGGGAGAAATAGGTATTGTTATTCTAGGATTAAACTTCATCTATAGTAAGGATCATGGATTTCTATTTAGACCTTTTTCTTGAGAATGAAATTTCCTATTGGGAAACTCGGACGAAAGGTGCAAGGGGCGAGCTCAGAATTTACTGGTGCTGGCTCGAGTCACTTGATAATGGGCGAGATCCCGTCTAATAAAGGTGAGTAGCGATTTACTTTATTTATGTGCACATTTATGGCATACATATTTTCTCATCCATCTAATTAAAGGATAAGGCTTTCGAGGTTGATTAGTCTCAGGAGGAATGGACATGAATTCGACTTCATCTCGCATCGCTAGAGGTGGTTGAAAGCATGTCTGACGCATGCAGTGACTTCAGGTGGCCCACCAATACATCGTCAGTGTTGCAGTTTTTCCAAACAAGTCTGGTAGCAATTTGACCAACAGAGAAGGATGGAAGATTTGATGAGCCTGGGAGTGGATTCGAACCACACACTACGTGTGTAATGGGTGTCGGGTGTTCATTGAAAAGGTGGGCACGGAGTCGGGTGTTCATTGTTCCTTTCACTACATCTTCCATGCTTTTGAATGCTCCCCAAGCCGCTCGTTTCCTTGTCCTCAGCTCTGGAGTTAAGTCGATTAACATGTTTATTTCACGCCCTAGATAAACACAACTGGAGTATTCGGAGATTTTCATTCCGTTGAGCGTGAATGGGGCATACGAAACCAATCCGTTCCTCATGAAAATCGTTTTGTGAGATTTAAACTGTTCGGTCTGGGCGTCGGAGTGCAATCATCTTGCTCTTGTAATTGGTGAAGATTCGGTGGGCTTTGCAAGTATTTTCCCTGCCTCTGCAGTTTCGACCATTACTGCTGCTCTTCCGTCTTTAAGATCTTCATTAATCGCCTGTCTGCACTATTTTACAAGTTCGGACGTTCGTTCGTCGTTGCCTGCAGCTCTTGCGATTCCACGCTGTCGTACCAGCTCGAGAGTTTCTGGAAACAGACGTCTCTTGGTGACTTTCGAACTCTCAGTCTTCATAGCGCTACCGTGAAGAATCCACAACGGCATCTTCCCAACAGCCGACTAATGAATTGAATAAGTCCCAGTTTGCGGTGGTTCTGGGATTTCGGTTTTGGAATTTAGAGGCTTATTCTCCTTTCCACCAGAAATAGAATCTTGCACATGGAGACGGTGGTCTGATCCCGTGTAGAATTTTGGGACAACAGCGATATCGGTTAGGCAAAACCTAATTGCGACTTACCATGGATTGTCTTGGTCGCTATGATAAACTCACACGGCCGCTCGCCCTATTCGCTGCATTCCAATCTGGGGTCCCAATGTGACGGTCTTCAGACGTTCTTCTTGATCCTATCTTGGCGTTGAAATCTCCAATGATGACCTTGAAAAATGTATGGTCTTCTCTGCAGAACTTCTCTAAGTCCATATAGAACGCTTCGACTTCTTCTTCGTCATGGTTTGATGTTGCCGCGTAAACGATGAAGATTGTCAAAGCCGATATTGATCCACACCTTTTTAGTCGTAAAGGCGACCGATTCGGGTTGTTAGCTGTTCGAATGAATCGATGTTCATGGACAAACTCGTATTGACGAGAACGCCGACGCCGCCGACTCTTCTATTGTCGCATGTTCCGAAGAACAGTTCTTCTCCGGTGTCATAGACGGCGTTGAATGGGTGACGACGTCTCGTCTCGGCCAGACCGATGACGTCGTAGCATATCCTTCTTGCTTGCATAAGCAAGTCCTCTATCGAGGACTCGTATGCAAGTGTACTTGCATTGTAAGTACAGATCGTCACCATAGTTCTTTGAAATCCAGGCAGCTTCCATTGGCCCTGAGATTTTAGCAGCCTCTCCGTACTCGTCTTACCCAACGCTGCCGAATGAGGCCTGTTTCTTTTACTGTGTTTAGCATTTTGAGATAGCCACGTATAGCGTGTTAGGCTCTGGACGTGGAGGCTGGGTATACTCCCGAGTAGCTGGCCAGAATCTCCCAGAGTGGACATGGGGCGTATTTGTTGGAGGTGACTCCTAACCGCCTCCCATATGCTTCCCAGTTACTTGATTGCAGGCATTTGGCCGAATCGACTCGTAGAATACAATCCGCATAAGCGAGAACGCACCCACACACGCATGTATGAATACGCCTAGCAAATACAGAATGTATGTGCCAATTTGGCGCAGCAGGGAGTCCATACCCTGGGTCCAGCTGCGTCTCAGGGAGGCAAAGGTCGCTTTTGGTCTGCGATTAACGCCTTATCTGCCATCTGGTGATGCACCACGTAGCCTTGCGACTAACTTACTAACGGAATCCCTCATATGAGGGAGAACCGTGTTCTTTAAATAAGAAAGGAAATTACTGTTAAAATGGAATAATGTTCCAAATCAATTTATAACATTTCTGATATAGTGAACATGAGCTCGGTTTAGCAATTAGTGATAATTTTGACCTAGAAACGTGCCAATTCTGTATCCTTTGTAGATAATTATTCCACCAGGTGAGAGAACCACAAAGAAATGCAGGTTTCAGCAATTTACTTAGACTTTTGGTTTGAAACAGTGATCATGTGCGTACAACTTAGTCATCCACACATTGAAGTAAATACCACCATAACTAGGGTAGAGAGTAGAGCATCAAATATTAGCTGAATTGAATTCTCAATGACACGTTGAACCTCATCAGTAATCATACTAAAAACCAAATCAACATTCAGAGCATACAACTGGAATAAGAAGCTCCTCCACATTTGGTCATAATGTACGTTTAAACTTCCTGAGGATAATGTAAACTGATGGTTAGAGGAGTGCTGAAAAACACTCATGGTTGTTGGTTCGATCCTGCACGTCTAGCAAAGCAAGCCCCTCCATCACTTCTGCGTCCGTAAATTGGTACCAAATTTGTCTGGGAGGATAGCGACACTGACTTTATACATCGTTATCTAAAGTTATTGCAGAGGACGAAAATACATCCAATCACGCATACGATTCTATGAATCTAGTCGAAAACATCCTACATCATGAGGGTTTGATCAACGCCGAACGCTTTGTTCCTTAGGCTTAATCACGTATAACCATCGAGATTTCCAGCAAAGATCCGGTCTACTTACCTCGTTAAACCAAAGAGTAATCGCATTGGAATAGTCACTGAATGGAGCGGCCCAGATGTTCTCGCCGATGTTACGTCGACCTTTCGAGTGTTGAAAATCACAGGTGTCAGCATGTCGTTGTGCAGATGCAGCCAACTCCTCTGACCAGTACAGCATGTTCATGTCTGATGCAGGCACCTGAATTTTAGCCAAACATTTCGAAGATATCCCAAGGACACGTGGAGTTTTTCAGTTTTCCGTTAGGTCAAAAGCGTAGAAGTACCATCAACAATGTTCTGCTATGACTTTTTCGTATAATTTTCATATTTTCTTATGTTATGCGCTTCTTTCTTAGCAAATCCACTCAACTGATGGTGCTTTTTTTCCATAGACGTCAAACGAGAATCTATGAACTTTGTCTCACTGTGCTAAGATGTTGTTCTTGAGTGTTGTATTACCATCAATGAATGACATGGACTTCGTGCCCGGGTCACTGAAGCTGAGAAGTTGCAGGAATTTTAAAAAATATGAAACCTATCCCTACGTTATATGAGAAGGTGAAACGATATCTGTTACTTGTTAAACACACGAAGGAAGTGTAACCAAAGACGCGATTCGGCCTGGTGAGTTCCACTGGTCAGTTGGTTTACTAGTCACAGGAATCACATCTTCCTTGGAAGAGCCGTAATGGTGAAGAAGTAAGCCACCCTATAATCTACAATAACGTGTTGTGGAACAGATGACCTGGAAAGCTTTAGCATGGCTATATTGGAATTCCGGCGAAAGCTCAAACTACATTCAATACGGGGAGGAAAACGACGGATAATCAAGGAAGAACTCACGCCCAAACCTGATCTTTGCAAAGGTAACAGTTGCAAAATACCGAAACGAATAGAACAAATGATGAGGACAGAGCGATATGTGAAAATGGGCCATCTAATTTTCAATGCATGTGGAGTAACAGTCGAGCGATTAGCTTAACTCCAAAGGTTAACTGAGGCGTGGAACGAGCCGATATTTGTTAGACATTCGTCTCTGCAGTTCACTCTGATCGGCCCAGAGCTTCTTGGAGAAACTTTTAAATATTTCTTGAGCTAATATTTCTGGGTTACCTTGTCGGTATATATTTTTCACAAATGGCACTTAACGAATTCCATATATGAGAAATCAGATAACTGCTAGCGGAACTCGTATGGTCATGGAGTAATTAATTCTCATACACTGTTCAATGTTAGTTCAGTTACTGTTATCAATATCTCTGTAAACCTGTTGAATTCTCGTCGCTTTGTGTCCGCACAAAAGAGCGCTGCGAACTAGAAGGTCAGTGAGTTGTGATTTACTGAGGACCTATTTGATCGATGTCTGCGCAGGTTAGGTTTAGAGCTTTTTTGTGACAGCGACAAAAGTTTCGCTATGGTTTTTCCTATGATATCTGTAGATTTCGAAGCCGAAAAAGTCTTTCGAAACTTCAGAAGACATCAGAAGAAGGGTTCCATGTCTTCGGGTCAGCCAGTCGAGGTAACGGCAACTGAATGATCAGTTCCGACTCCCACAGATATGAAATGAACGGCTGTTCTGCGATTTACAAACTGAATTACATTGAGCTTCTAATAAGCTCAGTGATTTTAAAGACCTCATCTTGAGCTATGGACTTGCTTTCACTACTGATCTGGAGAGCTAACTTCATGTAAAGTAGCTTTAATTCTACTGACCACATCTAGCGTAAAATGATTCTGCCATAGATGAGGTTCGTTACAGCACAAAACCTTTGTACTAAATTGTGGTGGAGCCAGCACATCTCGTGAAGACGAACCATCCAAGTATCCGTATGGATGAAATCATGTTCGTTATTAAAGAATTTATCTCCCTTTCACGAATGACCTTGAGCTGTAAAGTGCCGAGACAGCATGGCGCCCATAAGAGCGTGGGTGGGATTGCGTTCGATATCGTCTACCATCACCTGCACCAATTAAAATCGCGTTAGTCATCGAGTCACCCGATAGAACGTCAGTAAAAGACGCTATTCGGCCTTGTCACGTGCCAGAGCAGCACAATGGATTTCACTTGTTGAATGTCTCCTATGAGGCACTCTCGTAGTTTTATTAGTTTTGCGGAAATAGTTCCGGGTAAATCACCACACTACGCCGTGAAGGGTGAGTGTAGTGAACGGTGCTAGAAAGAGAGCTTACTTTTTTGTTGGAAATCATTTTGGATCGCTTTACCATCAATTTGTTGGAATATTTTCAACGAATGGACGTGATGGTAGAATCTGCGTACAAAGCACATCTGAGCACGAATGCATTCAGATGACTACAAGGAGGCGAAGCGTGCACGTCAAACCAAAGCATCAGAAAAGGAGAACCTATTCCTAAATACAGTTGCGTATCAAATGATCTCTGTGATTACACTGGTCCGTTTCGGCACCTATCCAGTATCCATTTGTGGACGCACCTTTTCCACGAATTGGCGCGTAGAACTTCACACAAGAAGGATTCGTTATTCAACTGGCATTTAATGTAGCAATATATTATAACGAACAAATTTATCACATACCATTCTTCGATAGCGATTGTGCTCATAGGTGAGCCATTTCTTCATGTAGTCATTCGGCGGATCTGAACTGACTAACAGTTGACGACCAAACTGGAGTCGTGAGAAGAAATAGTTGCGCTTCTCGCGAATCACCTCTGTTGCATCTGTTAATGATATAGTGTTATAAAAACCTCAAATTTTTCAAAATCTGCAAAAATTCTCATACATTTCTTTCACTGTTCTTTTTTTCGGCTTGAGAGGTAAAGCAAATTAAACCTTGACCATGACTTTGACCAATTTGCCGAACTAAACTTAAACTTGCACCATTTATCAGCTATCTTTTCTCTATCTGTTTTTTATTGATCTCACTCACAGTCATAATCAGAGCCATTAAAAAAGCGACAAGAAACACACAGAATTGACTATTTACCACTTTCGAGAATAGTTTCTTCATTATTTTTCACTTAGTCTTATTTGTTTGCTATCATCGAATACCTTAACCTGTGTTGTGTCCTTGGTTCAACCATCCGATGATCAGATCAAACGGGGACCTTGCCGAAGTGGGCCAATGTGATTATATAAATATTTGGTTCACCGAGTTGTTATGGCGCGCGATTATTCTTAGCACGACAAATGAGAATTCGACGAAAAAAGTCACCTGACTAGAAAATTTTGACTGTATCAACGTATTCGAGTAATGAGAAAATGATCACATTTCGTAAACGAGTGGGAGCTTAGAGGATTCTTCAGAGGTTTGTTAAGGGTGTGAAAGCGTCTCCTCAGGCCTTTCATCCCCACGAGGTCGGCGGATTAGTAGCAGACTGGCCTAGTAAAAGCTGCCTCCTATCCAGACCGCAATGAGAGCTTGGGTACGCCCTAGCAGAAATATCTCAGAATTCCGGTTAGAATCAATTTTTTATATGATCATTTTCATTGATAGTTAGATATGAGTTCTTAACTATTGCAAAGCTAAGCAGTTATTTTCAGTCTTAGGCTTGTGATAAAGGAACATATCGATTGGAAGATATAGTTGGGTTGATGTTTAATGAAAAATTTTTTTTCTAAAACATACCAGAACGTGAAACTTCAGCAGCATCGTGCAGAAACGGTGCAGTGTACGCGGCGATGAGTTCCCCGATCAAGAGAAGTAATAAGTAGGGCATCTCTGAAAACAAGAAAACCTATGCGCTACGGTTATGCCATGACTATAGTACAAGAACACTCCAATCATGGCCAAAATGCACGAACGGAATCATTGAAGCTCACCACCTTAAAATCACTTGCTCGTCTTTCAAGGATTGAATATAAACTAAGACATCCATTGTAGGTAAATATATTCAGGATGTGTGCAGCGTAGTGCCTAGAGATGCCGTGGTATAAGTACCAGGCCACTGGCTTATTACCGTACACTGGTCTAACAAAACCCTTTTCATGATCGGCAAATTAGCAGCAGACTAGTCCAGTAGGGCAGAAACATTAAATATCATCGGTAGATCTCACAACTCATTGCGAGCGAAGTACTCATTCGATGCCCTCTACAATGCAACTATTGAAGTCGAATCATCATGGCATGTTCTCAATGCAGCTTCCTTATTCTTCCAAGTATCTCATCTTCGAAATGAAATCGTAGGTGCCATGAATACGCGACGCGGTCATGCCACTTGGCTGCACATTGGATGTGGATTACACAAGTTTTTTATTTTCCTTTTTCTATCGAGCGAATATGACTAACAATTTTCCACTGAGACAGTGACATGTTCCGTGATGTAACTACTTAACAGTGCCGAACAACAGCGTCAACAAAGTCGTCACATTTTACGATAGGCGATGAATTAAAGTTTTTGAAGTACTTGGTTTAAAGTCCAACAAAATATGACAAGTACAAAAATCTAAAAGAAACACTTGATTAAAAAATTTCACTCTCGCTCTTTCTTCCTCTCCATTCCTCCCTCTCTCTTTCTTTCTCTCTTTCTCAATTTCTCCCCTCCCCTCTCTCTCTCTCTCTCTGTCTGAGGAAAGAAACTTCCAAGATGTAGGACCAAGTTCACATACCGCATGAAGTAGGGGGGTCGATTCAAACAATTAGAGTATCTACATACAAATATAAATGTAAGAAAGATGAGGAATTATAAAGCCCAGAATTTCGTTGCTTGTGCGAAACTCGTCAAAAAGAAAACTGAACGAGAAAAAATTCAGACATTCCTACAACAGGGATTTGATGTACCTTGAAATTCCCAAACTAAAGTTCTCCTTGGGCATTTTTCTACTCTTGAAAAAAAAGAAAAACTTTTCATTCATCTATGACGAATTCTTGCACTTTTCACAGATTGTTCCACCTCTTGAGAGATACGTCTAAGGCTAAAAGTACTGTAGACAGTTGCAAATCTGTCTAATAATTATGACCGCGAATTTAAATTAAGTAGACTCATGAGAATATTAGGATAAAACTTAGGTTCTAGGTTTAGGCGTTAGGCTTAGAGTTCCAAGTTTTGGAGAGAGCGGAACCAACTTATAAACTGAATATGTGTAAGATTCTATACTATTAATTGTTTCCGATACACTAACGCTATTAGAGCCGTTATTTGTGGATCTTATGGAACTCAAGAAATCCCAAAAATGAGGAATACTGTTATAATCTTGGTAACAGACGTCACAATGTCACCGCGAAGAAGGTTAGATTAACTAACGATGACTCAAAGTTGACGACTGGTGGAAACGACGAATTCAATCGAGTTAGGCCTGACACTGATAGGACAGAGCAGAGAGAGGAGAAGAGGAGGGTGGCGGAAATGGACGTCACTTTTGTGAGATCGAGAAACATCTCGTCATTGGGTCAACGGAAATGCGCGCCTTGGTTGCAGAGTGATCAGTGCAAACTAACTGTGCAGCTATAGCAGTAGCGTTGGTAGCACTAGAAGCAGCAGACGGGAGGTTCCGAGTACGGTTGTCTGCGCTCGAACCCATCGTCATTCCGTCTTCGATACGGTAAAGTCATGAAACTCTCACATAAAACTCGGTTCTGGTGCAACACACTTTCAAACAGCCGTCGACCAGTGAAGCTCATGAAAATGAAGAATACGCCGCTCACCGTTGAAAGTGACGATGACCACGATCACGCAGATCGCCATTCAATAACTTGCACGTTATGGATGAGCTTGAATGGAAATCACTTTACAGCCAGTCCTTGATCATCTTAACGTTGATGAACATCAACCAAATGTGTCAAACAGTTTCAAAGTAGCCACTTTGCGGATTAAAAGTTTTCACATAACTTTTTTAGATGAGTATCATCATCAGAATAATAAAAATAGCCGAATAGAGCTGATTTTGCACAGTTTTCAGCTTAATTTCTTATTCAGCCTGATTACCTAAGTGAATTCTGCATATTCCCAACTAGTTGAATTGAAGATCGAGCTACCACAAAATTTATTCAAAGGATTTCGATCGAACCTATCCACGCTGTAGTGTTGTCATGATCTTGGTTAGAGTTGAGGAAAACAGAAGTGTGTAAGAATCAAAGAATTTCTACTGTTCTCTCAAAAAGGAAAAGGATTCCTAGTAATTGTGGTATTATAACCACAATGATGCTGAGGATGCAAACGAGGCTGAGAGAAAGGCGAAGCGAACGACCCGCATGGTGTGGTGGTGAACACGTTAGCCCCTGGAAAGGGTAATATCGTATTCGACCGCCATCATAAATACCTCGTGTCCGAAGTTTTGCAAATATATCGACAATATTATGGTTATAATTCACTTCATACCTTACAATGAAAAGGAACAAGCAGGAAATAAAAAGTGATCACATTGCGGTAATATAATTTAATAGGCCCTTATTTAAACTTAAGAAAGGTACTTATTCTATTTCTTTTTACAGGACCCGCCTTTCACATCTACTATGCGGATCTCAGTACTTTTTGCATTCGAATCGTTTCTTCCCATTCATCATCCACGAAGGTTTTCGAACCATTTGCGTCTGGGTTCTGCAGCTGTTTGAGCATTTCCCTTTCGTCATGAATGTGGTTGAATACTGGTCAAGTCGATTCCTTCTGGAGCCCTGAGATAGCCAGGTTAGAGCGTTTCCACATTTCTACATGGATTGGAAAGAGTGAACTTCCTTCCACACAAGTTTAGTAGCAATTTCCTGAGCCCGACGAATGAAAGACTTGGTGAGTCCGGAGTGGGGTCGAACCTGCACCGTGCTCTTAATGAACGGCATCACCGCCACTGCCATAACCGACCCCTAAGATAGGTACTTGTTTGCGAAGTTATTACATAAGATTTTAGGTCATATCATCTGCTTTCGGGGTATAGAAAAAATAGCGTGGACTTCTTCATGCTGGCTCACAACGAACAATGAAGACCTTACTGCCATGATTTGAAGATAAAATGAAATGAATCTGGCGACAGATTATAAGACAACCTCTCAAGAAAACCTATTCACAGCTCTCTCTAACTGTACCACTGGGAATGAAGTTCTTCATCAGTGTGGTGATTGAATCGAACTGGCACTTTACGAATCAGGAAAACTTATTGGACAGCAAACCGGATTGAAGATACTGTATATCCTATGAGAAGAGTCATTTTGTGATCTCTACAGATTCTCTGGGATACAAATTACGCTTATGGAAAAGAAGTGGACAGTGAACCGTAAAAGAGTTTTGCATTTACTAAATGCAGAAGCAAAGCAGGTCAAGAAATCGTATGGAATGGACAACATCGGAGAGCGTTCAAGATGGTTCCTTTGACCAATGTGGAGATGACATTTGCTCTTTTATAGTCCTCAGACGAAGACCTTCTCCAAGAAACTCCGCCCCAAGAGTTTTTTTTGTCGTATTAACAAACAAAGGACAGTCCAAATGGGGGCTGAAGGGCGGGACGGACGGAAACGTATACGATGATGAATGTTGGGCTGGTTGAACATATCCACCGGAACTCCGTCTCGTGGGAGTAACCACATAAAATCCCTTGCTAAGGTCATTTCAATGAATGCTGCTGCGTGGCCCCACGCAATCGGCTCGACTGCCAATAAGATTATTTATTTCAGCCTTCACGTACGAATTCCTACAAAGCGGAAACAGTTTCCGAATCACACAAAAGTAATGAATGAAAGTCATAGCGGTTTGAAGAGTGTTTTGTAAATCAGACACCACTACCGGGAAAATAGCAGCCATTTCAGCGACATCGGAGAGCGATCAAGATGGTTCCTTTGACCAATGTGGAGATGACATTTGCTCTTTTATAGTCTTCAGACGAAGACCTCCAAAAAAACTCCGCCCCAAGAGTTCTTTTGCTGTATTAACAAACAAATCTTTGTTTCACATGCTCATTGTTTCACACTTTCCACAGGAAATGTTCATCGTGATGTCCGGGAGCCGCCTATGCAGCGGAATTCATCTTTGTTAAAACGGGTTCCGTGTTACATTAGAGAGATTGGGTAACCTTTTATTTGCATACGAAAGCTTGTGCATGTGCTACGTTCCTGAACTCTGTACACTCATACTACAATAACATTACTGTGGCTTTAATGACATTCTCATAGCTTTAAACTCTACCTTAACATCTTTCTCACGTTTCCTTTTTCAACATTGTTTTCCTCTAGATTTCCTAAGTAAGAAATTGGATGAATATTCATGAGGGCAAGAGGTCATTTGGTCACACTATTCTTCACTGGCATGAGTGCATCGCTCTCGCAGATCCATATATCAAAAGATGTTTATGCACAAATTTCGAGAATATATACATTCCACTTAACGAAAAACCGGAGGAATCCATGGATACGGTAGTGGGGAAGTCTAAAGTGTTGCCTATCGTCACTATCTTGATGACTGGTAACAAACTTTTTTCGATTGAAATAAAAATATTCAAAATGAATGAACAAGCTGAACAGACGAAAAATATCGCAGAAAGAAAAACAGGAAGAGAAGGCTGCGCAACGCCTTCCATACAATTATAACCGATGAAACTTAGTAAAAACTATCCATCTACACATTTGACATGAGAAATTACAAATCATACAAATATTTTACGAAAAAAAATTGATTAAATTTGAACAGCCAAAACAGCCAAACTTTGACATAAAATGAGGGATGGTCTGAAGACATCATAAAAATCTCTGAAAACGCTAGAATTTCTGAACTTCACTATTCGAGTTTTTATGGGTACCGACAACATATAGGATATCCCTATACAATTAACACGAAAAAAATGAACGGAAAATTATTCATAGTAAACTACGACGAGAAGCGTAGTAAGTCGAAGGACAAATCCCATATTGAAAATTGTGCATGAAATAATGCAAAAAAAACAGAACTAAGGAGAAAAAACAAACGGCCAGAGAAAAATGCGCCAAGGAAAACCACTTCAAAAGCTGGAAGTTAGCTCACAATAATTCTGAGGAACTTTACAACTTCGTGACAAAGAGGTAGAACAAATTCTATTAAAAACTGGCTCCTTTCATGCCTATCTACAGTGGCAGAGTTCACACCTTATTTTCAACAGAAAAAATTTCCATATTATTCGATGTCAAGCCAAACGTTGAATGCAACAATAATCAGTAGGATTTTCCGTTCGAACCATACAATTCTCGCACTTTTACAAAGAAATTCATAGAAATGAGTGATCACAGTTGACTTAAGGCTCAACCACTACCACTGGCTGTTGTTGTTGGTCCCGTTTATGGAAACAAATACAGCAACAACAACAGCAGAAGCATAAACAGCTAAGGATCATTATCGCGTAGCTTACGGTGATGAACACAAAACTGAACACATACGTCAGCTGATCGCAATAGTTTGGTCCTGCTCGTGGGTCGTAACTAACATGGTCATACACCCAATACACCCAGATAGTCCCCAGTATGAACCTGAAAGTGAAAATACAATCTCTTATTGGCATCTCTTTAAATACAAAAACTAACAATCTTCGTTAATTTTCACATTTACTTAATACTCCTTACGATTTATCATACTTAATTGACTTATCAAAATCATTTTGATTTGTCAGAGATGGTGCACTTCACGTTACAAAACTGACGCACCATACGGCGACAAATATGCTGAGTAACCCATCAAATATACGAATAATAATCGGACGTTTTAGTTTGTGCTGATCCTGGAAATAAAACTGAATTTATAACAGCCACGACCGACTTTCTATTAACCTCGGCATTGATCAAGTGATTTTCTTCGTATTTTTGTTGAGCAAACGCGAGGTGTTACTATTTTTTGTTCACGATTAAGCTGACGTTTCGGCGAATTTCGCCTTCTTCAGAGCCTGGAAAGGTCAAGTTGACAGCAACTCACTCGGCCAGACGCCTCCATAACCAAACAAAGAAACTCCAAACCAAGATTTCAATCACTTTGAACACAGCTTTGCACACTCACCGCTTTCTATGAGGTTTCCACTAAGTATGTCACGTAGAGACCAACCGCACAGAAATCACGTGTGCCGTATAATGTATAATGTGCCGCTCCCATCAGAATAGCAGTCTTATACACTGCCCTATATCACCCGTGTTAATGAGGCATTCTTCCCTGCGGTTCATTTTCGGATTTCTGGAATTAATCCAGAGTGCCTCGAGAGTTTTTCGCGCCTGTGTTCTTGATTCGCGTGCGAGGATCGTGACACATACTTCGAAGTCGTCCCCGTTATGTCTCTGGGTCCTATGCGTGCCTAGCGGGGTATTTGGTCTATTTTTGCCGGCTAGGTGTTCTTTCATGCGGACACAGAGGGGTCTACCCGTTTCGCCAATGTATTCGTCACCACATGTCTTACAGGAGATCAGATAAACTATACCCGAGCTCATGCAATCACCGTCTCTACCACTGGGGCAAATTATGCAATTTTGAGTTGCACATAGACGGTCATATAGGCGGTTACGAACTAGCTGGAGCTTAAGATTACTCGGTGGTATTTCAACTACGCTCACCGAATTCTCTAAGCNTGCGGTTCATTTTCGGATTTCTGGAATTAATCCAGAGTGCCTCGAGAGTTTTTCGCGCCTGTGTTCTTGATTCGCGTGCGAGGATCGTGACACATACTTCGAAGTCGTCCCCGTTATGTCTCTGGGTCCTATGCGTGCCTAGCGGGGTATTTGGTCTATTTTTGCCGGCTAGGTGTTCTTTCATGCGGACACAGAGGGGTCTACCCGTTTCGCCAATGTATTCGTCACCACATGTCTTACAGGAGATCAGATAAACTATACCCGAGCTCATGCAATCACCGTCTCTACCACTGGGGCAAATTATGCAATTTTGAGTTGCACATAGACGGTCATATAGGCGGTTACGAACTAGCTGGAGCTTAAGATTACTCGGTGGTATTTCAACTACGCTCACCGAATTCTCTAAGCTCGCCCTTCTTAAGCAGCGTTTTATAGCTGTACTTATATCATTTGAGATGAAGGGTAGGATAAACGGGACCCTTCTATCGCTACAGTTGTCGTTTGGAGGCCTACGATTTCCTCTACACCTATTCTGAGCTACATTTTCGTAGCCATTAGAAAAGAAATACGAAGAAAATCACTTGAATTTATAACATACCAAGCTCCATGACTGGACTTCGAATAAAGCAAGATTATCTACGCCACACAAGAAAGAATGCAACAAAACCTTGAACCGAAAAAAGAAGTTGATAGCGCTGCGAATCAACGACACAGTTCCGGTCACAATCAGCCACGTAGGAATCTTCGGATTCACATCGCACTGATCTCGATTGACAGCGCCGACTATCACCATCATGATTGGCACGATGTTCAGAATCGCAAGCACCACTGCCGCTGCCACTAAAATAAAGCTAACATTAAATGTAAATAGCAACAAAAATTTACATATTGGATCATCTGTTTGTAGTATGTTTTCTGGAACTCAAATCACTTGGTATTTACGTCACTTTGCAAATTTTGACGACTCTTTACCAAAAGGATTCATGATATACTCCACAAAACTAAGTACCGATGACTAGAAGCTTCTACCTATACCCGTTTCTCAGATCTACCGTATTTTATAGGCTGGAGGTATCACTGTCGAATCCTCTAGTGCTTAGTTCAGAATAGGGAACCTAGGTAACCAGACGATCGACGACATAATTCACTGCCGTCACAACAGTCATACGATCGCTTTTTTCTTTCTAAGAGGGATATTAAAGTGTTCAACATCTCCGCAATTTCAACCAAACCAAACTGTCGCCTTCTGTCTATCACTGCCTGAAAAAGCAATTGATTCAAACCGAGAAATTGCTTTTGAAATCTCAACTGCAGAAGATAACTAACAGTTGCTGGAAGCCTTGCAAGCGCCTTAAATTAACTAAATTTCTGGAGATAATGCAAACGGAATCCTATCGTACTATAACAATCCGAGGCTCTTTGATATCTCACTGGTAAACCCCTATTTCCGTGAGGAAACATCTAGGATAGCACAACTTTGACATAATAATAGAATATTAAAACCATGTGATATCGAACAGGGCCAAAAAAAACTAATAGGATAAGAATGAATGATTATTTAAAGTGGACCTACGTTCTGCTAACAGCGCTACATACAAAAGAAGCAAATCAGTGAGACTCAGTGACATAAGATGAGGATTAAAAATTGTTCCCAGGATCGACTTTCTATTAACCTCGGCATTGGAATATGAATGTGTCGTTTTCTTGTTCAGCAATCGCGAGGTTTTTAAACAGCATACATTTACTTCCATAGAAAAACACAATACAACATAACAGTAGCTGACGTTTCGGCAGTATCGCCTTCTTCAGAGCCTGGAAGGGTATACTGATATACAATCTACTAGGCCAAACGCTTCAATAACACTTACAAAAAGACGAAAACTCTTTGGTAATTACATGATCAACAGCTTCTCGAAAAGTCACCGCTTTTTTTCGTGACTTCCAATGAGGAAGTTTAGCACAGCTGATTATAGTCGCATGTGATTGACGACTGCACCATCCCACATCAAAAGTCAATGCGAACATACGAGATCAGGTCGCGTATGACCTCCGGGTATTCATCCCTGCTATTCGTTGTAGGGTTTTTGGCATTTATCCAAAAAGCCTCAAGAAGTTTTCGCGCTGGTGTTTTGGACTCCTGTGCAAGGATATTGACTTTTACTTCAAAATCGTCTCCGCTATGCTTTTGTATCTTATGCGTGCCTAGTGGGGTGCTTCGTCTTAGTTTTCGTTTGCCATCCAGGTGTTCTTTTATACGGATTCACAAAGGTCTGCCCGTTTCGCCAATATATTCATCTCCGCAATTGTTACACGAGATCAGGTATATCGTACCTGAACTCATGCAAACACCGTCCCTGCCGTAAGGGCAAATTACGTAATTTGTTGTTTCACACAGACGGTCATACAGGCGGTTACGAACTAATTGACGACGTAGAGTAGCCGGTGGTATTTCAACTATCGCTACCGATTCCTCTAGATTTGCCCTTCTTAAGCATCGTTTTATAGCTACGCTTACTTCATCGCTTATAAAAGGCAACATAAACGGGACTTTCTTTTGCCCAAGTGTTTCACGTGGGCGTGTCGCTCTCCTTCCAAACTTATCTCGTGGGGTTACTATTTCGTAGCCATTGGAGATGGCTATTTGCCGAGCCAACTCGCGCGATTCTTCCTGTAATTCCCTGGTAGTGCACACAGAGGTGGCTGTTCGAAACATGTTTCTCACAATCGCCCTCTTTGTGTGTGAAGGGGGGGAAGAAAGGAAATGAANTCGTGGGGTTACTATTTCGTAGCCATTGGAGATGGCTATTTGCCGAGCCAACTCGCGCGATTCTTCCTGTAATTCCCTGGTAGTGCACACAGAGGTGGCTGTTCGAAACATGTTTCTCACAATCGCCCTCTTTGTGTGTGAAGGGTGGGAAGAAAGGAAATGAACAAGGTTGTTCTTGTTACTTGGCTTTCGATACCACTTTGTCAGGTAACCGCTACTTGATAGGTTTATTTGGACGTCCAAAAACGGAAGCCAGTTTTTTTCGTTCGTTGTTGTTCGTTGCTGTTTTTAGCCCTCTTGTACGAATCTTAACTTTTTCGGGTATTTGTGAAGTGCAATGCAATTAACTCTCGACCACAAAACGTCCTAATATATCCGGTATGGCCAAAAGCAGAATGTTTCAATTCATTATAGAGCTATAAATTGAAGCATCTAAGTCTTTAAACGTCATAAAGTAAAATTCTGCACAGACAAAGCAGAATGTTCGTGGTTTGTTTTTAACTATAGGTTATACTCGGGAAGTTTTTATTTAATCAATAAGGAGCAAACTTGTCGTTGTACATACCGAAAGTCTCAAGGATAATTTCGACAGAATAAATCAAGCACTTAAAGAACTTCTTTTGATTGTTACTATACTTCTGCTTGTATTTCAACTACGGCACCTAAAATCAACATCGTACTCAAGCGGATGTTTGTAATCGCAGAATTCGCTGTCGTATCGGAACAATCCAAATCGTGACCCAGCAAACATTCTTCTGATCTGTAAAAGTGAGAAAGTCTTCAAACTGCATCCGAAGCCACATATGAGCTCGACTACCTCCACTGATTCCGGTATCAAGACACCGTAACGAATGAAGGAAGTGCTGGGAACTTCAGGACATGCGAATTGGTTATAAAAGTACGTAAGCATACTTTAACATCGTAGATTCAGAAACATAAATCTGCAACTCTTTTTTTATTGCAAAAAGATTCTCCTCATACAAGTTCTATCCTAATTGTTAATTCAGATATCCATTTCACAGAAGATCTGGGCGTCTCGTAACGGTTGACAGGAGAGCAATACCATTTGCGTGTAACACAGCCCCCGCTTCCGCTCATGTTTTCGCAAACGAATTGCCATGAATGGTCAAATGCAATTTTCTCTTACGTAAATTGAATTAGGCTAACAAATATTTGATAGTCAGACCTGTTTTTCTTCGTTGTAAGGTCACTATGTTACAGTTTTTTCGCAAATGACATTGCCCTATTCCAGTTTAACTAACAGGAACAGAAGATGGATCGAATAGCAGACAATCCTTGCGCATGTGGCATATAAAAACGAAATTAAGTAAAAAATAAAAGAAGGATTAAGAAAAAGACACTGGTCTCACTCTATGTATTGTACTATATCGATGATTTTTACCAAGTAAATCGCGAAATAGTGAACTTGATAACAGAATTTTTTCTTTGAATTAACATATCTATGGACTGTGCAGTAAGAAAACCTAACCTTTTACTCAACTATATGATGGCTAAAGTTCAAAATCTAGGGAGGTTAGTCTAGGTTTAACGTGAAAAACATTTCAACCATCTTTTCCGCATGAGTGAGATTGGTGAACTACTAAAGAGAAGAGCCGCGTTTCACTGATAGAAACCGGTGATGACACAAAACGGCAAAATCTACTGAATATACAAAGCGATGTGAATCACTACGAAAGGACATGTTGCTTAGACGGCTGTGAGAGCTGAATCAGTACGGTTTAATGCACATTTCCGCTTCTCCCGAAATACTCGAGCGCACTCTGTAAACTGTACACCGCAGCAGTATATATACCCATCAGAACTAACCGCCTTAAAATGAGTTAAGTTTTTCAACACTAATCCCTAGGATGACCATCATCATATTGCCATTTTAAACTTTACGATTAATGAGGCTCTCCTCTTGGGTTTGGTCAGTGTAGTGGAACAGAATTCACCTTCCATTAACAGTTGTGATTCTATACGAAAAACTTTCGCTCTCCTTCGTTATGACAGACAAGTGGTGTCGCATTTCATAAGGACAGATTTCGACAACTGGTGTGACATCAGATGCTTAGCCTGACAGACTACGCCGAATTCTCTGGAGTACAGCCAATTCGTTAGTATTCGCTCTACGCTACGCACTGTTGGCTCATTACAGCTGTTTTCTTATAGCTCTGCAATTCTGCAATTCGTCATCATCGGTCTCATTAGATAGATTTGACTTCAGGTAACCATCAACTCGAAAGCATGAAAAAGCCTGAAATTTTTCTCACATGGCCTAGGTGTTTGAAGCATTCAGATATCTGGAAAAGACTTGGGAAATTCTGACTTATCTTAGTTTTTTGATGATCACAGAAAAATGTATCCGTCTCACTGAACAAATAGAGCAGCAAATTCTGGTTTTATTTGACCAGTAGCAACATAAATTTTCTTAAGCGCATACACGATATACGCTTCCTAGTTAGATCGGAGATACATTTAGACTCTAAGATGGCAATCGGAAATACTAGTGGAAATAACTCTTTAGATTGAGAAAACAATGCCGAAAGGTAAAAAGAGACGACAGTCGCATATTCTGCAAGTACCGTGCGATAAAGAAAAGGTGGAATTGAGGCAGGATATTAAGAAATCATGAAATAAAATGAAGAAAGAGAAACTAAGGAACGTAAACTTACAGGTACCCAAGACGAAATCGGCGGTTTTTTTCAGGAATAACGCTAATCCTTTCGGTGAATCCACACGTCGAAATTCACCGAATAATCGTTCGTATGATGGAGGCGCATCTTGAACGCAAAAGACTGTTGGACGAGATCAAAAGCTTTAGATACATCATTTTAAGTCAAACACTGCTGTTGTGACTATGACTGCTAGGTATAACAAGACAGTAGAAAATTTCACTCAATACCCACTAAAACAATCAAGCCTAAATAAATGATGTTATACTCAAACTGTCGAACTCAATTCCGGAATAAAAGCAGCATACCATTTGACGCTTCTTCGTAAGAGGGCGGCAGTTCCGGAGGTGCTGACGGCAAGGTCATCTATAATAAATGGTTACACTTAGTATAAAAACATTCGTGAAACTTACATATGGCAAAACATTTTGGCAGTATCCGTCAGGAAAGAACCAATAACAATTCCATTCGATTTCGAGGTAGATTTATTTATGAATTTTAGCTCGCAATAGTTTCTTACAAATGTTCAATTCCATAAGAGGAAAGGAAAATAGAGATAGAAAGAAATAAGAGGAAAGAAATCAGAACTGTGTTATATAGAACGATCATGAAGTATACATACAACAGGATAATCGAATAAGAAAATTCCAAATGTTGAGGTAACTGAAGCTGATTAGCTCCGATGGTGTGCGATTGTGGCCTTAGGTGGCGGATAGGAGATTAAGCGCGGCCCAAGAACGCATTTGTCCCGAGATGGAAATTGGATCACCATATGGCTCCCTGAACTCCTGCGCTGAATGAAGCTTATACTTGCCATGACACGTAAGTCCATGGCTGGACCTGTCTTTACACGGTCTTATTTTGTTGGTCAATTCGACGAGCCTGTAAGTGGTAAGGAAGAAGTTCACGTTCCTACTAACAAATAAGTTTCACATCAACCTCGAAACAATCTCACAAGGTATCCGTGATTACCCTCTGAGGAGCCACCCATGTGTACCCATCGCTGAAACCAGCAAAAATAATAAGGGGTACCATTCGAAGTTCAATGTTTTTCAAATCTCTCGACCAAGGATAGACCACTAGGGAGATCTGGTGCACGAAATACGAAGCTATTACTACTGGGTGCTCGAGTCACTCGAAGAGGATTAAAAATGGATCGGAATGTGGATGGACATTCAATAACACATATTAAGGAACTATCATGATTCGACAAATATGTTTCTCACTAAAAAAAAGATCAGACAGGCGGGAGTACGAAGCAGGAGAAAGTAGTCCTCTAGAAAAACGCTGCAAACTGTTTGATTTATGCTATAGAGTAATGGCCAAATCAAAATAAGCGAAAATTTTGCACTGCTGTCTAGAAATTCCATTCTGTCCAATTTACTGGTCTACAGAAATTCCAACCCTTGTTCGTATAGAATTGCTTCCTTTCTATACTGCGAAACCTTCAAAAAACCCAATCTGGTAACACATTGTATCACTAAACTCTTTCACACCGCTGTTCTTTCGGAGTTCCCTCATAGAATGGAATACCTTTTTTCTGCAGACTACAATTTCTTGATCGTTGACTCCCGCTGCACAATAAAAACATGATCTGTGTGGATTTCTAGATTTCTCACGCATAACCAGTTAATACGTTGAAGAAGTGATAAACTTCTTCATGATCCAATACAGCGACATTGGTAGAGCAGACCGCGCACTGCACTGGCAGAAAGAGATCCTCAGCTTGTACCTGAAATCTCGGAGAAAATTTCGTGGTATTTCCGCAACATGTTTTTCAAAGAAGCTGATATATCTAATGAGACTTTCACGTTTAGGTCGTATAGCTTCGAGTACTGATTTCACAACAGATTCAGTGCAGAAATGTATCGCAAACAAGCAGATTCGATGAGAAAAAGAATAGATCTTTCCATATACGTATCTTTCCGCCAAAACTTGCTTGATACTTGGATAGTCCATCCTCACTGGTTGTGCCGGCCCCAGCATTATCTCCATCATTCAGAGATTTGCTGATTAAGCCATTGTTGTTCCCTGGAGTCCCAAGGTTAGCATGGCCAAAGTCTGCCCCAGGTCTTTATCACCACAGGCAGTCGCAGCCTTTGTGGATCAGAGGAAGATTTGCCACCATGCAACTAGTTTGATACACGGACAAGTGACATCTCATGGTATTGGTTTGCTCTTAGTTGGGCTTCCTGATGGAAACACCGAACTCCTTCTCAGCTTACGGGGATGAGCCGCCGCTGTACATCGCAGCCCGACACCCAGGAACAGCTCCCAGCCACGATGAGACGGTACACCGTTGGAAGGTTTCCAACAAAAAATATAAAAAAGTGATAACAAAGCACCGGTTGCTCGTTAGGTTCCACACCCATTTTTCTCATTCTTTGTCGCTCACGACGTTTCTCCTTGCCGGTCTTCTCAATTTTTAGACTTTCTTTCTTCACATGACAATTCTCCACAAACACTGCTCTGAAGAAATTAAATGTAACATAACCTCAACTAATTTTTGAAAGAAAATCTACACTCATCAATATGAATGTACCTGTACTGATCGCTGTAAATTTCATGACGCTGGCAGTCACGGGTTAACAACACCATACATCCAGGACATGACAGAACAGCATCAGAGTTACCATCAATACGCGGCCTACAATAGTGCAGTAGTCCACAACACAACTGAATAAATAAAACGGCCTATTAAGTAAAACAAGGTCAGTGGTGAAGTCAATTAAGATTCAAAAATAACCAATTGATTTTGTGGATAGAGGATAAGGAATAAAGCTCACGGCGTCAAATAAACCTCTGGGGGATATGCCATGCATTCGACTTCATTAAACATCGTTAGAGGTGATTGAATGCATATTTGGCCTTTACAATGGCTCGCAATGGCCTACCGATGTATAGAGCCTGTGCTGCTATCCTCCAAGACAAGTGTGGCACCAAGCCGACCCCAAGGGGTGGAAGGTTTGATGAACCTAGGGCGAGGGAATCTATCCCATGTGTATTGCAAGGCGCCTCCGAACTCCGCGCCACACGCGCCCCGATTACGTGGGTATTGTGAATAAACCAAATATTTTGCTAAAGGGTTTACAATATTCAAGGCTCTTCCTAAATATTGCCATAACAAGTCACCTAGTTTCTTTTCCGGCACTTTTACTTTCCATCCCCGTCGACTGTGAGCGTTGGGTCTGCATCCAAATCTCATTCTCGTCATCCTCGTCCGGGTCATAGAATTCAGCAACTTCCTTAATTTTTAGGTAAACCAAAGTAAAAGTAAACACATAGAAAGATATACCTAGATGAAAAAAAATGCCAAAACTTACTGAGCTAACATCCTTCATCGTTTGCTTCGCAGATCTTGTGATCGGATTGTCATCTTCGTCACCTTGAGCATTGGATTTGTCCGAAAGATCTCTTTTTGCTTTCACATCTTTTAGTTTCAGTTTTTTTTCCACTGCTTTCACTGACGTCTTAAAATTTTGATTTTATTACCCGCTCGAGGCACTTCACGACCAACCACGAACAGGTGATACAGGTGAGGCCATGCCTCCCATTTAATAACATCATATCAATACTGCCGACAAGTTAGAAAACTGATATTTTAAAAGATACCGTGTTAGTAGATGGGCTTGAAGTGTCCGATACCGGAATCACAACGTCCGTTTCCATCTCTTCAATTGTCGTTAGCTTCTGAGATGCTTGTTCAAATTCAAGCTTAGGCTGTTTCAACGGAATAAACGTTTCCCACTCACGAGTTCCATCTGAAAACATTTGGTTACCGTGTTGGTCATATTAAATATGACTCCTTTTCGAAGTTACTATTTAAAGATCCACGTGATAACTCTGACCAAACACAATATCTTGCGCTATAAACCCTATAGCGTAAAAATAAAATACACGGTCTACCAAGTAGAAACGCTAACTACTAACCTTTGCTGCTGTCTTTTGCTTCGTTATCAATATTGTCATCGTTATCCATAAGCGGTGGCATTTCATCTTGTTCGCATATTTTGAGATACTAAAATGTCATCTACTGTGTCGTTACTAACATTTCTATACAAAACGGACGTTTCATCAAAGTCTCATAACAATTAAGTAAAGAACAAATTTTTAAAATTATACCCAATTTACTTTGCTGTGAATGCTAGTCATTTTAGACTAACTGCGCACTCTTGTATGTACTTACAGCTTTTTTGACCTGACCCAAGCACATTCCTTTGTAAGACTTTATGCTGCTGGTCGCCATTAATAACTTGACGATCTGTAAGGACCGAGGACCAAAATGGTGAGTGTTTAAGCAAGCTGCTTTCTATTCCAGCAAAGTCTAGGTAATGAGACTTTCTGCTGGGGTTATGGAAGTGTTTGACTGAGCAGATTGCATGTCAACTTAAACTTTTCAGACTTTGAAGAAGGTGAAATCGCCGGAAAGTCCTAAACAAATCTAGCTATTGACAACTTCGTTTCTGTTTAAGAAGAAAGAACTGACTTATTGAGAAATACCGAAGTCAGTAGAAAGTCAGTCCTGGGAACGTACTCTCAGTGTTAAAATAGAAAAGAAACTAACTGAATCCACAAACAAGGAAAAATGACGAACCTAGTCACATGAATCAATAACTCCTTCTACGAAGTGTGGAATTCAAAAATAATTCCAAATCGAAATAGCCACACTTTAATTAGATACACGTACCTCCTGACAGGATATGGTCGGTACCACCGGTCGTTTCACGTTTCCGCTAAGGTGCTCGTTGGCATAGTCGGTAATTAGCTGGTCCAACTCACATTCCATGTCCATTTCAAATTGAGAACGATTCTCTGCAAACATGTGCATATATATATATACATATGTATATATGTACATACATTATTCTTCCATTAAATAGTGGCTTAGAAATCCAAAAAGCTAGTATTGAGTAAATACAACATCTACCCTCTAGCAACGTTATTGATCATGAGCATCGAACTAAATTCCTGGTTAGCTTAGCCTGAATACTATGACATATTCGAACCAATAAATCAAACGTATTTCTCCTGTGTGAAGCTCTAATAAACCCTAGCAAAATCAATGGAGAGCACAACTAAAAGGTGAAATGAATTAGAAGCCAATCAAACAAAAAGAGCTTACCCCAGCTAAACAAATACAGCGAGAAAGTATGTTGCATTTCATACAAATTTAGCCCAGTGTTCCAAGTCAAATAAGTTTCCAGGACAAATAAATAAGTTCTAATCAATGTTTCCCCATATTCCACAAATTTTTTTGACATTTCAGAGTTCAATGAAACACTCCACATCCTAGTGGATTTCTAATTAATCTAGTGGGTTTATTCGAAAATCCGCATAAGACCTTAAAAACACAAGACTCGAATCCTGTATGCGTCTCTTTGATGAAGGAAAAATAAAATGTGTTCTACACGCTTTCACATTCTTTCGCAGATTAACCACTCCTGCACTTGTATTTAGAAAGGCAAAATCTTCAAAAACTAGAAATCCGATCACAAAAAAGGAAGATCTGCAAGATTTGCACAAATTATCTTTGTGTTTGATGTGTTTCTGCTTGGCAGCTCAACCAAGGTCACCGGAATCCTAGCTCAACAAGTTAAATCGTCTTGTCGCCGTAAAACAAAGAAAGAACATTTTTGTATCTTACGTTTTTCCTTGCGTTGCTTTGGAACGCAATCCTTCTTGATTCCAGCCAACTCGCACAATTCTCGTTGCAGTTCATCGTCGGAACTGCAAAACATCGTGAGATTGATTAAATCGAGTGAACCAGACTTCTTAAAAGTAATTCCAATATCTGAGCAAAAAAAAGTTGCATTTTTTTCCTATAAGGTAAAGAATGAAACCAAATCCAGGACTTTTCAGAAGAACACCATTTTTAGTGGAGCACTCAATGGCAAACATCTCATAAACTCTGGCTATTTATCTAAGGCGAATTCCTCCTTCATATACGAGATTGGAATTTTTATTTTGAGCAGTAGGCAAACTCAGTAGTATTAAGAAACCAAAATTGGTGTTCGAAAAACTATCTACCTGTCCAGCTATCTACTTTTACGGCCGAAATAGCTTCGATAGAGCGTTCCAGCTTTTCGTCACAAGCAATCATCATCCTTTGTGGACCAGATTGCGCTCTTCTTAGACAAATATAGTACCAATTTGCCTACTCCAGAGTGATGAAGGGATTATTTGCTCAGCAGCGAGTTCGAACCGGTAGTTACAAGGCGTTTATTGCAGAACGGCATTCCTAACCATTGCACCGTTTGAATGTATTGCAAAGAACCTACTTAGATAATCGGATGGACCGTCTTCACTGGTTCTGCGGGCCCCAGCATAATTTTTCATTTCTCTCTCGCGTAATCGCCGTCCATGGTAGTGGTTTGCTTAAACACAGTGACACGCTCGAGACGCATTTCATAACTGTGAAATCGTTGCTATCTGCGAGTGGAAATAGTTGACGTTAGCTACGAATACGTCCGTTCACTGTTTGGGTGGTCTTTCATAAGGCCACTTAGATTCTCTTAGAGTCCACTCCACTGTACTTTTCGTCCATTTGTCAACTGCTCTTCCTATTATGTGAGCGTCCCATCTGTTTTGCTATGGATGTATATTCTCTTCGATCCCCAAGATGGGATAGGTTTAGAATATCTGAGCTGCGCCTTCCAACTAGGCGTTATGAGTGCCTGTTAAGTTTTAGAAGACATCACTCAACTGCCCTGTGGATGGAGTGCAGATTTTTTCGACGCGGTTGAAGTATCAACCTACGTTTCTGTTGTATAACAGGGCGCTGAGGGGATTGCTGAATAGAGAGGGTGAGCGTGGAGTTTCGGGTCCGTTAGTTGATCGGTGGCCTCTTTGTGATGCGTGAATGCGCCTCTTATTGCTGTTTCTTCTAATTAGTTCTTCACTCATGTCGTTCTCCATGTTCATTGAACGTCCAAGGTTCACGTACGAGGTGGTCTCTGTAATTCGAGAACCAGCCGGTTCCAATTGTTCGCCTTCGTACCATAGGCTCTTCATGAAATAGGTTTTCATCCCATCTATGCGCAGTCCAATCTTTTTTCCCACGTAGTTCAGTTCACTGAGCATCGTCTCTGTCTCACTGGTACTCCTCGAAAAAATTACGATGTCATCCGCGAAACAAAGATTTGATAAGAAGTTTTCATCAATGACTACGTTCGTTGTCGTAATGCACTGCATCATCGTTATCCACGGCAGTGCAGCTGTGAACAACTCTGGCGAAATTCTGTCGCATTACGCGTTCTTTTTCCTATAGGTATGGTGAGGGATCGATGAAAAGGCCCTATATTTGTGCTCCAGTTCCGATAAAAGTCAGCTGCTGTTCGTATATAGGACGGCTCCACTTCTCGGTCGACAAGTTAAGTAATGACGATAAAATTGCAATCAGCTAATCATATAAGTCACAAAAGACTGTTAGCAGTGTGCTAATCATAAACCATGCTGACGCGACAGAGTGAGTCAACAATGAGGTATACTCTCTCAATCAAGAAAACAACTGATGAGACTTTAAAAAAGGTAAGTATGACATAACAATAGAAAACCAGCAAAAAACTGAATGTGTCTTCCCACCCTACCAACACTACAGAAAATTGCTCGAAGCATATTTCCTTTATCATTTACTGTACTCTAAAGAAAACAAGGTCTGAAAGAATCCCACATATGGATTCAATGATTTCTTTTCAACCTAATAAAGAAATGAGAACCTCATAAATAAAGCGAAGCATGTATATTCTACCAGAAGATGATAGCAATACCAACATTAACGCCGCTGAGCTTCTCGGAACTTCTTCAGCTCCATGGCAACAGGTTGATAAAATGTGTCGCATAAAGGTCTGCCTTTGTATGCAGCTCCATCTGCTCCATAAAGTCAGATTGTTTCCGTTAATTCTACCATACATCCAAACATTCGCATGAAAACTAACAATCCATAGATAAGACAAAACAAAATTTCATAAAATACTAACTGCTCAGTTAATGTTTCGTTTAAATTCTATCGAAATATATGGTTTAATTGTTTAATGTAAAGCGCACCGACACATTTCAACTCTGTAAATTCTAATTTCTTTTAATTCTCTTCAGCTAGTTCACATTGTTGAAACTAAACGAAGTTGATAAATTTTATTCAGCTAATGTTTCGACGTCTTCATCTTCATTAGAGCCGGCGATCCGAGTCGGTGGTCCACAACTGTTTGCCATCTCATTGTGGCGTCTTTGTGGTCGTTCCTAGACGGATCCTCCTCATGAACACTGCACGAGTGAAGCATGCTAACCCGGCAGTGCTCTTTTATAAAGAGCGGCTGTTGCTGATATAACTACAAAAATTGTTCCCCCTCAGCTACTTACGGAGTGATGACAAGTTACGGTACAACGGTTCACTATACAACTAGAAGCACTTCCATGTTCGTGACTCCATGAA